GGCTTCGGGGTCCCGGGCGGCGGCGGTAAGGGCACGCATGGCCGGCAGCTGGCGGCTGAGGCGCCCGCCCGGAGCACGCCAATTTATAGAGGCACCAGGCGGAGGCGTCTAGAGGGACAGCCCAATGCCTGACTCCCTCTCCGCCCAGTTCCGGGCCCCGGCCCGTCCCTCCCGTCTCTCTCCTTCCGGAACTTGTCACTCTTACTTAGTTCCAACTTGTTCTCTCTAACTTTCTCCACCCTGGACCTCTTCACCTGTGGACTTCTGCACTCAGTCTCTCTCTGTCCCTCTCTGCCCTCCCCATTGTCTCCTCTTTCTCCCTGTGTCTCTCTACATCCTTGGTTGTGAGTGTGTGTGTGTGTGTGTGTACACGCGCGTGCGCCCCCCCCCCCCGACGTGCCACTTCGGAACTCTCAAACACAGACTATCTAAAATGAATGGTTGGGAGTTAGCTGTGAGCTCGGAGCCAAGGGCATAGTAAATGCTCAATAAACAGGCAGTCTCCTGAGTGGCATTACTGCACCTCCCTGGGGGTCTCTCTTTGTCTTTCTCCATCTCTACCATTGTCTGCACTAATTATCTCTGCAGAGTCTGTGGCAGGGAATCTTATCGTCTGTCTGTCTCTGTGCTTCTCCCAGTCTCTGCCTCTCTGTTTCTCCCTGTCTCTGGGTCTCACTTTTGGATATCTCTGTCTCTCTTTGTCTCTTTCCCCTCTCCTTGCCACTGGGGTTCCCTCAAGGCTCCCCCAAGCCCAGCCCTTCTGCAGAGAGGTCAGAGCTCAGCAAGCCTTCTGCCCTCTCCTACCCTGGAGCACCCCCACCCCCCACCCACCCCCACCCCTAGCCCCATGCTCAGCCCTTTCCCCACCCTCCCTGCCTTCCCCAGGACCCTGGGCCTTCCCTCACCGGCCCCCACCCACTCATCTAGACCATTCCCATCAGGAACCCCTCAGACCCCACAAGCAGAAGGCTGGAGAGTCCAGGCTGTGAAATCCCCCTGGTAGGAAAAGGAGAGTCTTGAGTGAGCTGGAGGAAACTCGAATTTCCCGTTTGCCCTGCCGTAGGTGGGGACCGGAGAAGGAGCAGAGACAAGGCTGGGCCTCAAATGAGGAAGCGCCTCCAATTAAATGAGGAAACTACCCCCCTGTTTGAAAGGTGGGCGACCAGGAAAGCCCTGCTCTGCCCAGACCATGTTGGTGGACACTGGCCGGCTCCCCGCCTCCCTGCACCTCACTCTTCCTGTGGAAATGGGAGGGTGGATGGGGGTACTACATCTCTCTCGTGGCCTCCAGTAGTGTCGACTGTCCAGGGGTTGCTGGGTAATTTTGCTCAACTGATCACACATCTCCTAATACCAGCTGTGTTTGATCGGTGTTGGGCTTCCCTGGGGAATTACAGAGAAAACAATAATGATACCAGGTGACTTGATGGAACATTCCAAGGTGGTAGCTGCTTCTGTCATACCAGTGGTTCCCCCCAGTGTGACACTGGCGTTAGGAGCAGCAGCATCACCTGAAACCCGCCAGCCATGCAAACTCTAGCATCCCCAACCCAGAACCCGCCAGTTGCTATGGCATCCAAACCAAAATATGGCGACTCCATGACGACCCACATGCGTCAGAGTAGAACTGGGCTCCATAGGGCTTTCAATAGCTGTGACCTTTCTGAAGTCAATGGCCAGGCCTTTCATCTGAGGTGCCTCTGGGTGGTTTCACTCTCAACTTTTCAGTTAGTAGCCTAGTGCATAACCGAGTTTGCACTGCCCAGAGACCCCCCAATCCAGACCCGCTGAAACTTGAAACAGGGGGTCACCGATCTGAGTTTTAACAAGGCTTCTAGAAGATACTGATGCTCATGCAAATGTGAGAAGCCAATGCCACAGTTGCTCCTTTGCATCCGCTCTGGACTTTCCCTCCCCTGAATCTGCAGCCCGTGAGCACCCTGTCACCACTCAAGTGTTGCATCAAACCATCCATCTGCTCTTGTTGTTGCTTTTGGGTCAAATCTATTTCAACTCACTGCACCTCCCCTGTGATAGAGTAGAACTGCCCCATAGAGTTTCCAAGGCTGTCAATCTTGACGCAAGCAAAGCCCAAACCAAACCCACTGCCCAGGAGTGGATTCCTACTCACAGTGCCCCTAGAGGACAGAAAGGAACTGCACCATAGGCTGTCATCTTTATGGGAGCAAATTGCCAGGTCTTTCTCCCACAGAGCCGCTGGGTGGGTTCGAACCACCGACCTTTCAGTCAGCAGCCAAGTGCTTTAACCACAAGAAAGTGAGCATAATGGCGGTAGCCAGAATAAAAGCATCTGCAGGAAGGAAATCAGGACAGAAAAGCTGTTTGTTGTTTTTGTGTGTTTTTTCTCAGGTTTTCTTCAGAGTGGAGAGTGGTGGAGTTTGTGGATGGAGGGTCACAGGTGAGGGCAGAGGAACCTCACAGAAAACAGCGGTAATGAGTGGACCAGTGCACACAAGATGCCCGGACCTCACCCCCACTCAGTTCCTAGGGCCCAGCAGACAGGAGGGGGAAAGAGACTTTTCCAAGGAAACTAGCTGTGATGGTTTATTGTGTGTGTCAGCTGGCGAGGCCACAGTGCCCAGTCATTTGGTCAAATTCTAGTCTAGGAACTGTTATGAAGTAGTTCCATGTGATGACATCACTTGGCCTTATAAAGCAGGTTAGCCTCCAAAGTATGGTGGGCCTTGTCCAATCAGTTGAAGGTCTTAAGAGTGAAAAGGGAGTCTCCTCCAGGGTGTGTTCTCCTTTGGGACTACAAATAGTCATCTTGTTCCTCACTCTTCACTCTTCTTATTGAAAGACCTTTTTGGGGTGCAAGTCCACAGGCATCTCCAGCCTGCCACAATTTTGGACTTAATAGACCCCCCACAATCAAACGAGTCAATTCCTTAAACCAGATCTCTCTCTATCTACCTATGTCTATATCTAAGAGTCCTGGTGATACAATGGTTAAGCACTGGTCTGCTAACTGAAAGGCTGGTAGTTCCAACCTACCCATATCCTGGCAGTCTGCTCCCATAAAAATTACACCCTAGAAAACCTATGAGGCAGTTCTACCCTGTAACACATGGGGTCACCAGGAGTCAGGGGCCAGCTCAATGGCAGCTCCCAACAGCAATACCATATCTCTATCTGTCTGTATCTAAAGAACCCTGGTGGCACAATGCTTAAGCACTCGGCTGCCAACCCAAAGGTCAGTGGTTTGAACCTTCCAGTGACTCTGTGAGAGAAAAGACTTGGCTCCCTTGAAAACAATCATGGGAGAAAGAAGGGCTGTTTATGCACAGGGAGACAGTTCAGGGGCCAGGAGTGCATGGAGGGATGTTGTTGTTGTTGTTATATGCCGTCGAGTCGGCCCCGACTCATAGCGACCCCTCCTTGGGTTTCCGAAGCAGTATCACTACGGAAGTAGGATTGCCCAACCTTTCTTCCGAGGAGTGGCTGGTGGGTTTGAACCGCCAGCCTTCTGGTTAGCAGTCAAGTGCCTTAGCCACTATGCTACCAGAGGGATGGACACAGGGAAAAGGTAACTATCGGGAGGAAGTGGAGGGGAGCTGTTGCATTGTGGGAAACTGCAGTCAATGTCAAGAGAGAATGTGTATGTGAACTGCTGTATGGAAAGTGAATTTGCTCTGTAAATGTTCACCCAAATCACAATTTAAAAAAAAGACTTGGCTCCCTTAAAGATGACAGCCACGGAAGCCCTGTGGTGTATGTAGTTCTACTTTGTCATATAGGCTTACTCCAGGTTGGAATCAATTCAATGGCAAATAACAACAATGCATCTGTACCTATAAATCAAAGCCAAGCCCACTGCCATCAAGTTGATTCCAACTCATAGCAACCCCATTGGGCTTCCAAAGCTATAAATCTTTAAGGAGGTAGCTTGACTTGTCTTCCTCCTGTGGAGCAGCTGGTGGGTTTGAACCACCGACCTTCTGGTTAGCAGCCAAGTGCCTTATGCACTGTGCCACCAGCGTTTCTTTCTGTACTTATCCTTGTATCTACACATCATGAAATACTTGTGGTCAGGGGTAGGACTCTCCCCTCCCACACGGGAGACCCAGGTTCGCTTCCCGCCAGATGCACAGCCCCCACCTGTCTGTCCGTGGAGTCCTGTGTGTTGCTAGGATGCTGAACAGGTTTCAATGGAGCTTCCAGACTAAGAGAGAGTACGAAGAAAGGCCTCGTGATCAACTTCCAAAAATCAGTCAAGGAAAACCCACCGAAAAGCTGGTGAAATCAGATGGATCACAAGGGAACGTGGTCTGATCCTCAACCAGTTGTGGGGATGGCACACGACCAGGCAGCGTTTTGTTCCATTGTGGGTGGAGGCGCCATGAGTCGGGGCCCACTGTGTCTCTCAGATCTCTGTATCTCTCTGGTACATCAGTGAACCCTAACACTGATTAGCCAGGAACCAAAGCCCAAGAGCCCGCCCCCGTGGCCCTCTGCACACACCTCAGTGTGGACAGTGCCTATTCGCTGGCTCCGCACACAGCATGGGCGGATTGCGAAAACTTCCTTAGAGCTGGCAACAGTGCAACAAGAGAGATGGTGACTCAACCCCCATGGAAATGTCATCCCTCAGGCTCTTACATCACCTCACGAGATTTTCCTACTAGCGATTTCCACCATCCAAAACGTTTATCTGCATGCTTCCTTATAACACGCTTTCCCACCAGTGCAGCAGCTTCTAAGGGCCATTAACTTTATCAGCCTTCCATCCACTGTATCTCCAGTGCCTGGAGCATTGCAGGCCACACTATGCAAACCAAACCAAACCCACTGCCGTGGCGCTGAT